GTGTGGCTCTCACCCATCTCATGTTCTCATTTGGAAAATGGTTAAGTTTATTGGAAATCATCTCAGTGTCTTCAGTTATGGTTTAACTTTGTTTTATCCATAAGTTAGACTAAACTTTCCTACAATGGGGATGTTAGCAAGGTTTCACTGTATTAGGAAAGCTAACATATTTTCCCTTCCAGTTGTCTATATGTGAATGATCTGAGTTTTCTGATATCTTTACCCCCTACCCATCCGTGACAATGAATTTATCCTTGAGAGACATCAAGGCAATAGACCAAATCACAGACCTAAGAAATGCTCCTTGCATAGCTTAGGGCAGGCATGTGTCGACCCAGTGTGAGTATTCTGTGTGTAAATAGTGAGGTTTACAAGGTGGTGAAGAGTGTCTGAGAACCCATCAGATCCAAGTTCAGGGATTGGCTGCTGAGTCTTAGGTGAATTGCCACTGATGGCACTAGGATGAGGACATAGCATTTAAAAGAAGTCGCTTTATGTCATTTCTCAAGACATGTGTTTAATAATTGGGCTATTATTGGACTTCTGAAAATTGAATTCGTTTTAAATAATATTTTAAATAAAATTTAAAACTTAGTTACAAGGACTGTGTGTTTAAAAAAGCAAAGGCAGTTAGACACTTACTCCTTTATATTGATAAATAAGTAGCTTACCAAGCATATGCCCAATTTGTGTTTGATATCTAAAAATGTAATTTTTCAGAGGGAGTCTTAAGTCAAATGGAGAGTCAAATCTGTCCCATAGTAATGGGACAGATTTGACTCTCCATTTGACTTCAATCATAGCTAAAATAATTGCCACATATAAATCTGCTACATTTCTGGGGTTTAGCCACAAGTCTACTTAATGACAAATATTTATTTCATCAGACAGAGGGGAGAATAGAACCTTCCACTAAATATTTAGAAAATTTTAAATCCCAGTAGCGGGATATGGAGATTGTTTAAATCTCTTTAAGGCTTTGGATTAGAAATGTCTGACCTCAGGTTTTTTACCTGGAGCAGGTGTCATCAGAGGGCATGGAACCCCGGGGACAGTGGGGAGTTCTTGTTACTACAGAATGGGGGGTTGTCTTTATTTACCAGGGGTACAAGTGGGTAGAAAGAAGGAAGCATGACTAAATTTGAATTCTCCACCGTTTAATATCAGGAACTAATCTTTATAATGCCACTTTTTCCCTTCTAAAATCTTAGAGGGGGGAAATAGATTCTGAACATAAGAATAATTTGTCTATCAACATTACTTTATTAATAATTAAAATCATAGTTGTCAATGGTATGTTAATTATAATTGTAATATTTTATTTTGTGTATCTCCTTTCAGTAGAAGGTAAAAATGATTACTTAGTTATTACTTTACTGTAATTATCAAGAAACTTTCTAACAGGTTCTATACTTTACATACATCAGTGCTTGCAGTCCTCCTACAAAGAAAGTAGTAGAAGAAAATTGAAGTTCATTGCTGTTACCTTTCTTGTCCCAAACTGGCAGCTAGTAGAACTAGAATTTGAACTCTAGTCTGCCTTCAAGATCCAACTAAGATCTTTTACAAATGAATCCTGTCTCTGTAGAGCAGCATGAAAAGGAGAGGGGTTCTGTTCTGTAACATATCAAACCAACTGGCAAATCCCAAACTGTTTTGTTTTCAGGCTGTCTAATCTAAGAACATGTTCATAATCTGCTTTCTGATTTAATCTATTGTAATGTAGTCCATGTCATAAGAACGCTCAATGAATAAAAATTCAGTGTTTTATAAAATATAAATTAAGAAAGTATTTACTGCATTAAAGGCTCTTTGTCTTGTTAAAAAGCATTTCTTTATCCCCACTGAAGTGTAGCTTTCTGCTAAAAATCCAATTAATTTATCTACTTAGCATTGGCTAATCTAGATAATGTCCATATTACTACAGAAATTAAATAGAAGACAAGATACAATTTTGAACTATAATAAATTTAAATCCAGTGATGACGGAAGAAACAAAAATAGTACCAAAAGAAGTAATAATATCAGAAGCATACTGAAAATATATGTTGCTCTTGAGTTTGTGAAAACAAACAAAAAATGAGGAAACTCTCACCAGAATGGGACCTGAAGGAGAGGTGATGCTAATAAGAGAAATGGAAGGAACTCTATCTCCTGTCCATGGACCCAGGTGCGCCTGGCGGGGCCTTTCTTGCTTGACATATGAGGTACTTCCCATAAAGTGTTAAAGCAGAGTCTGGGAAGGGAGTAGGAGTCTTTATTTCCTTGAAAACCAGGGCAACTTGTTTCTATTTAATTGAGAGTCATTTATGGCTTTTGACCTGGCAAATTACTTGTTAGATAGGTTGCTCTGGAAAGGTGAATAGAATGGATCTGATGCCATAGACAGGAGACTCTTGAAATATTAACAGTGGGGATGAGAAGAGGGAATATATAGGAAAGACAATTCTGGAATAAAACATGTAAGACAGAAATTGAGAGATGAGGAAAAGGGAGAGCCTGAGTGTCCAAAGGGACATTTTTAGAGCTAAGAGCTAAGAAGAGAAACCTGTGGGCAGGTAGGCAAGAGGAACTCATGAGGTCAGTTTTCAGGGACATATGCATTGTTTCAAAAACAGAAGTTACATCACATTTCTGTATTTTTCTTGGCTATCAGAGAATGAATGAATGTATGTTAACTGAAGAGTTATATTATGCAAAGTCTATTTTGAGACCTGTGTTTATATCTATGAAATAGAGTCAATGATACTTTAAGAGGAAATGATAAGGATCAATGGACCTTCGTGATGATGTCAATATAGCTAATGGCTTCAGACAAATATTAAATCCTGGTACTAAAAAGCTATGATGTGATAAACATTATTGCAATTATAAACATTGGGTGGCACTTTATCCTTTCACCTCTATTGACTAAGATGGATAGAATATTATTTTTCCTTCAAAATAGCTTCTATCTTAATGACAAAAAAACAAACATGCATATAAAAGGGAGTATTTTTCAATGGGCTTCTGGTTACTCCCCCCCAAAATTCAATTATTTTAGAAAGGAAAGGTAAACTAATAGTGAGTAAGCCACCAGCATTGTGTCTACAGTTTGTTATATGCTAGGATCTGTAATTTGTATATATTATTTTATTTTATTTATAAATCTCTACACATTTGGTTCTATAATAATCTTCATTTTACAGAAGAGACAATTTAATTAGAGAATTTAAGTAACTTGTCTTCAAATTCGAATGCTGGTAAGAATTTCTGGTTGCAGACAGTTGCAGTGGGAATGATAAAGGGCAAATGGATGAATCCACCTTATGTTTAGGTATTAAAACCAATCAGCCACAGAGACTGTGCATGAGATTGAGGAGATTCAGGTCCGGGAATGATCTAGGATGGCTCTAAGCTTTCTGACTTGTAAATCAGGTATAGAGTTGTTCTTTTCCTTGACAGAAGGGGGCATGAGGAGTATATGTGGGAGGTGAGATGTTGAATCGGGGCCTGGGGGTGCTGTTTAACCAGAGTGTGAGATAGGCAAGGGGGTAGGTTCAATAGGCTGCTGGTCATGAGGCTTAAAGGCAGCAGTGGATAGAGATAAAGCTTCTGGAGTCATCAGTTACAGGTGAACCATAGAAGACATGGATGGGTGTATGGTATTGCCCGAAAAGTCTGTGTGGAGTAGAAGGTAAAAGGCCCACTATGCCTGACACACAGGGGAGCAGCAGCCTTCTGGGGAGGCCAGGGACAGGAGCCCACAGAAGAGACTAAGAGTAGCCACAAGGTGGGAGTCCTCAGTGCACACTCGATTTCACACTAGAGCTCAGTGACATCACTTCCTTGTGAAATGGCTATTACACTACTTCTCGTTTGCCCTTAGTATATTAAGGGGCACATTTTGCATATTTCCACTGGGGAAGGAAAAAGAAAGAAAGAAAGAAAAGGTGGCATTGAAAATGGCAGTGTATGATGCATGATTGACATGGCTATTAGTATGCTTGTCCCTAAATGTATAGATACGTTTTAATGGAAAGACTGGTAAAATCTTTAAAATGACAAACATTTACCTTTGACCTGATCTTGGGGGGCGTGTGGAGATAAAGGGGAGAGAGTGCTTTTTATAGTTCTTTCTTATATTACTATTTTTATTCCAGGAGCCATTCATAATTGGGTATGGTAGAAACTTGATAGATTTATGTAAATGTATGCCTTATCAAAAGTGGCTCATTGCAAGAATACAAACGAAAATTACATAATCATCTCTGAAGAATTTAGTTACAATAGATTAACCTGGAATAACCTGAAAGTTCCTGGTTTTCTCCCAATTTTAATGAAAGGTGAGATAAGAATATTTCAAAAGGTAGTTAGTAAACATAGATTCTAGTTTTAAATCTAGAGTAGAGTCTCTTCAATTATTTTTAGCCTCAGAAAAATGTTAGTTTTCCTCTTTCAAACTAAAGAAGAATAAAGCATACATATTTGGACTACTGTGAAGCTAGGGACGATTCTAGAATTTATATTTGACCTAATCTCCTAGGGATAAATTTGAAGTACTGGTATTTTTAGCACACCTTGTTTATTCTAATCTATGATTGGTGATTTGGTATATAACGTACATCAAAACACCTTCAAAGAATCTTACCAAAAGCATTTTTTAAGTTGAGTCTTCTGGTTTTATATTTCTCCCTCGTTTATAGGGAGGGTGTTTTTTTTTGGGGGTCTTTACCAGATAAATGGGGTTATGGGTGTTTTTTAATTTATTTCTATAACACTTGATATCAAATAATTTTTGAAATTCTTTAATCACAATACCTTACTTTAGGAATATGTTAATTTTACTTAGATTTAAATTTGTTGCCATGGAAGGAGTTAGTTACCTTATTTCTAAAGCCAACACTTTGTTCTCTCACTCATTTATTAACCACAAATCAGTAATAACTTTTTTTTTGGGGGGGAGAGAATGGTCTGGTTGCTGCCTGCATCTTAAGATCTGATTGTTTTATTCGTTGTAGGTTTTATTGGGATTTAATAATGCTTATAATGATGGTTGGCAATCTGGTCATCATACCCGTTGGAATCACGTTCTTCACAGAACAAACAACAACACCGTGGATTATTTTCAACGTGGCCTCAGATACAGTTTTCCTCTTGGACCTGATCATGAATTTTAGGACTGGGACTGTCAATGAAGACAGCTCGGAAATTATCCTGGACCCTAAAGTGATCAAGATGAATTACTTAAAAAGCTGGTTTGTGGTGGACTTCATCTCATCAATCCCAGTGGATTATATCTTCCTCATTGTAGAAAAGGGAATGGATTCAGAAGTTTACAAGACGGCCAGGGCACTTCGCATCGTGAGGTTTACAAAAATTCTCAGTCTCTTGCGTTTATTACGACTTTCAAGATTAATTAGATACATACATCAGTGGGAAGAGGTAAGTCATCTATTTTACTTTTTAAAGTCACTATATGACCATATTGTTAATGATGGCTGTTTTAAAATGTACAACTGGTCTATATATGAGGTTTATGAAATTCAAGGAGAAATTTTTTATTTATTTTTTGGTACGTAAGTGATATATGTGTATCTTCAAAAGATATGGTCAAATATTAGATTTGAATGAACTGAAAAGAAATTCGTGATTTTAAAACTATTGTTTTATATCAATTTAGTTTTTTCCTAACAATTGCACTTTAAGCAAAACAATTTTTATTCAAACCAATGCAACCCTTCCTTTCTCATGAATGGCTCTTTTTTTTTTTTTATCTGATATGAATACATCAAGGACGATATTTGACAAAGATGTGGAGGGTCCATTTGCTAATCTAGTTTTATCATTAGCTCTATGAGATAATCTGGTATATGTTTCCTCTAATATTGAAATTTCAGAGAATTTGTGTTTGAAGAAAACAGATTTTGGGGGTTTTTCCAAATTACATATGTAAAGAGTGATTTCAGTATTTTAATGTTGCTCTTTGTCAGGGGTCCTCAAACTTTTTAAACGGGGCCAGTTCACTGTCCCTCAGACCGTTGGAGGGCCAGACTATAGTTTTAAAAAAAAAACTTTGAACAAATTCCTATGCACACTGCACATACCTTATTTTGAAGTAAAAAAACAAAACGGGAACAAATACAATATTTGTGTTTGCATGTGGCCCACGGGCTGTAGTTTGAGGACCCCTGCTCTTTGTGATACTTTGCATGTAATTATTTATGCTAGTTTCTCCCTATTAGTTCATTTCATAATACTGAAAGACAGCATACCCAGGAGGGAAATTAATACATAAAAAACTCAAATAACACAGTGGGTAAGTGCAGTCAATTTGGCCAGTATTTTGCTGACTAGGGGCAGCTTTGTTCCCAGGCAGTCTATGGACCAAAGAGGGCTTAGCAGGGAGTTTCTAAGATCTGAGTGAATTGTTCCATCCCACACAAAGGAGTTCATGTCCCTACTTCCAGAGTCTGTTTATTAAACATCTTAACTTTCTTTTCCTTCTAAGTCTACCTTTGTAAATCATCACCTGAGTTTTACTGAAGATTGAAAATGCTTTGAGAGTGTCTAAATCTGCACCCAAGAAAACAATAGACTTGCTATGGATTGTCACTTTACTCATAGCAGCAATTAATTTTAGCATTTTTAGGATGAATTGTGTTTTGGAATTTAGGTGTAAATGAGTCGGAAAATGGAACTTCTGTGAGCACCAGCTCTGCTTTCTTTGGGGCCACAGCCATGTTCTGTGCGTGCTTGTCAATGGCGTTTCAGTTCCTAGGATTTCAGGAAATGCCATGTGATCATGCACACTGTGTGAGACATTGCTGAAAAGGCTGAGAACGGATGGTTCCTAAAATATGGATATGGGTTATATTTAAAATCCAGAGAAGCACATTTGAGAGGTTGGATTCATCTGTGTCTAGATAGTACATTCTATCTGAAATGCAGTAATTGTTTGGTTCTCAAACTTCATTATACCAATTTGAAATTGATATCAGACCAAGATGATTATGGATAACAGCTAATGGTTATTGAGGAATTATTATATGTCAGGTAATATATTTGATTCTTTACTAGTAAATCTTCCCAATGACGCTGGTAGCTTGCGCAGATTCATGGTAACAGGCGGGGCTGGGATTCTAACCTTGGCAGTTCAACTCCAGAAGCAATGCTCTTAACCCCCCAAACCTATAGCTTCTTGCTGTAACCTATGTGTACTCTTTTAATGTCAAATACCTTAATATCCAATGATTTTATGTATTGAATACAAATTGTAGATGACTAGCCCAACTGGTGTGGCTCAGTGGTTAAGCGTTGACCTATGAACCAGGAGGTCATGGTTCAATTCCTGGTCAGGGCACATGCCAGGGTAGCAGGCTGGATTGGTAGGGGGTGTGCAGGGAGCAGTCTATCAATGATTCTCTATCATCATTGATGTTTCTATCTCTCTCTCTTCTTTCCTTTCTGAAACCAATACAAATATATTTTTAAAAAAACACTAAAAAATGTAGATGAATATTTACCTCTTAAAACATGGTTTCACAAAACAATATTAATGGCTAGCCTGTGTAATGAAGAGTCTCTGAGACAAATATTCAGTCAGTCAAAAATGCAGTGGGCAGTGCGACTGCTTTTCCGAGTCTTGTAGTTTTAACCCATTTACCCTAGAGAACAGCGTCAGAAGGAACAGATGGTGGCCTATCAGATGAAATGGCAGGCCACGTGGCAGAGAGGACACTCCCTCAAAGGGATGTCCTCTGGCGCCTGGCAGCGGTCACAGGCACCTGGATGTGTGTACCGTGATGGGGTTTTATAGACGCCACACTATGTATGAGTCAGGCTCACAGCCACCGTGACTGAGAAATGCAATTTAATATGCACTTACAGGCATTTGGTAACCAAACACACCCCAACCAGGGCTGCGAGTTGGCAGGTTCTTTCATATAAATAAATGACCTTGATAATAAATGAACCGTAAGCTCGTTTAAGTGAAGGATGTTTCCTTGATTATATGATACCTTCCTATGATATCACACACATCATGGATATTTAATGTCTCTTAGTAATCCTGTTAAACAGGGAAGAGACAGTCATAATTGATCCAAAATGTAATATGAATTCATGACCTCACCACCTACATGATTCAAACCAAAATCACAAAGGATCTTACATGGTTCCAGGCTGGCACATCTCTACCTGACTTTGATAAATGCCACAAGGATGTGTTTACAAGTAGAAATACAACAAATAGTTTGGCAGCCGTTGCCCTGGGAGGGTTTAGAATAAGACCACGCAGGAAGATGTGAGCTCACCCACATGTCTTTGAATTCTGGGTGTTTTAGTACCAAGCTGGCTGGTGCTAAATATAGCAAATTTGGGGAAGTAATGTGTGAAGTCTGGAAACTGCTCTCATTCTAACTGAATCATTTCCAAGGAACGCAGCTGCCTTCTATAGGGAACTGCTTTGGTCTTCAATGATACATGGTGTGTGTGTGTGTGTGTGTGTGTGTGTGTGTGTGTGTGTGTGTGTTTTCCGGTCTGAATTAGTTAATCTGAAAAACAACAAGAAGCACCAAAGCCAGATAAATTAGAGAAATTGTGAATGAAATAGAGAAACTTAGTCCTTATGTTACTATCATAACTAAAGTTGAATGTTGTGGCTACTGTACAAGGAAAAAGCTGATTTGGTCAACAGATTTGTGAAACACGTGGTGTTAAGAAGTCAGGAGGGACGTTTACATAAGACAATTATAAGATCAGTGGCTTTAAGATGCAAAAATAGAGCTCTCTCAGTGTGATATTTTCAGTGTAAAGTTTCCTGAAACTGCATGTATATCGTCAGGTGAGGTAAAAATCTGGAACGATTATTTCAATAAATTAGGCCAGAAAATGCCTCTTTCTCTCATCTCTAGAAAACTGAGGTGAATCTTTCTTGTAGTTTGGCTTTTTAAAATTCATTTCTTTCATTCAGCATTGTTTTTATTATTCTATTTCAAGTAAAGTCAGTGACCCATGGCAGAATGCTCTACTGTAACCTACCACAAGGGTGACCCATTCTCTGTGATCCTACTGAAGGAGACATATGGTGAGGAAATCCTTGGAAATTAAATGGAATATTAACAATTGTTAGCCCTCAAAAGCCACTGAAGAGATAAAGGGAGATTAAGAGCTTAGTAACTGGGAGATTATTCAGTTAGTGAAGGTGAAGGGTCCTAGGATCCTTGAATGCTGCCCGGCCCATTGGGTTGTATTTTGTTTTGTTTTTTTATCAAAGTTGGATGATCTTTGACATTATTAGGTATTGGGAATAGCAATTGAAAAGAAAAATACTATTCTGTAGAGTTTATCTATTTTTAGGATTTAATGCCACGGGCAATGAACAAAATAGTGTGGGACACGCATGATGCTTGTATCATAACTAAGCCTTTGGAACACATATCTATAATATTTGCTCTTTTATTCCTCATTTACTATTCCCTCAACCTTCCTTTTATAAATTTTTAGACCCATCACAATGAACTAAATCCATTCTCCGGCAAGTAGGAGGGCTTGTGGTTTCCATCTTGGTATATGTCTATAGCAATTTCGGATGAGTAATGTGTCTAGGACATCACAATTCTCTGCAAGCAATCGATATTAGATTTTTATGTCGGCTGAGAGACAAATTGATAAACAGATGATGTTTCACAGCCGAGCGTTAATCAGAAAATTTATTCCACGGGGAGCTAATTCAGATTGCAGTTTCGGTTTTTGGTTAATTTTAACATTTTCTTTGGTTGGTATTAGAAACGAACTCTTGCTGTGAATTGCCTGTCTACAATTACACAACACATACTGTTAACTACTTTCATTTTTTAAGCATCCCAACGCTTGCCATGAGCAAGCACCTTTGTTTCTCCAATGCTGCCCTCTGTGAGGGTGGAGAGAACTTCCCTGTTGCCTATCACATCAAATCTGCGTTTCTTTGCTGTGCCTTCAAGGCTCCTCAGCCAACCTGTCCCTGTCTCAACCGTGTCACTTCCTATTTGCACCCAAGGACTCCTTTCTGATTTTTGTGTTATTGTGTTTCTTTTGTTTACAGTGCTTCTTGCAGAGAACGGTTCTTTCTGTAATTTTGCATGTGCCACACCTCAGATTTAGAAAGCCTTTCTTTTTCCATTGCTCCCGTAAAAAGTAGACTTAAACTTATTTCCAGAAAACATTTTACATGGTCAGTCCCTCTACTGAGAGCAGTTCTACTGGTTCTGCTTGCATTTGTTCTGCTGATTGCTCGGCTGCTGCTGCTTGCTGAGATGCATGTTCCTTTCCTGTTGATGGACATAAATGTCTATGGGGAAGAGTCGGTGTCAGCTTTTGCCATTGCATCTGCTTGTACACAGATACCGAGTTCTAAACACAGTGGGTTATCAGAGCCTGCCTGTCCACTAGCCGTCTTCCATGCA